AGTTATGATGAAATATGTTATTTTTTTCAATTGGATGTCGTTTGTAGTTGGTTATTATTGAATGTTCATTTTGTGAAATTTGTAGGCTAATTTAGGTTGTCATTTTGTGTATGTATTAGGTTTGATTAAATGCATATTAATTGTAAGAAATTTCATTGTAATTGATGTTAATCATTATAATTTTACTGTGTAGTCACCACCGTTTCAACTGCACAATCATCGACCGATGGATGATGTCATTATTTTTTGTTGTGTAAGTTTATCATCTGATTAACTCTCTCTAAACATCTCTTATTGATTTTTTTAATAACTTATTTATTTTGATTTATCTTCATTAATGTCGTGATAGATGGACGATGATCTAGAAAATACCATATGATAAGGTTTTTTTTTTACTCATCATTTTATTACTTTTTATCTTATCTTTTTACCCCGTTTATTTACTATTTAATGTTTTTATGTCTATAAGTTCGAATACTTCGTCATAATAATGTAGGAGTGGTAATTCGTAATGAGTATGAACTAAATCGTCTCAGTATACGTGAAGGAGTGTTACCTCACACCTATTTCTCATTCATTTTTATTTTTTTTAGCTTTTAAGTAGCGTTTTCTTACACCCCATACAATAATCTATAATAAAAGGAGAAAAAGAAAGTCTGATGCTTTGGCGAATGCCAAATTTAATGGGAAAGGAAAAGAAACCTATTCTAGCCAAGGAACAAAAAAAAAAGATTGTCAACTGGTATGACTATTGATCCTAAATAAATTGGTAATTTGTTACAATCTCTCCAAATTCTTACCTATATCAATCTAAATCATCTCCCCTCACTACATACAAATGTGTGTGCTCATTTGTTTTTTTGACAATTCAGGGTAATGAAAGTAATTATGTTTAATTCAACTAACGAAAAAAGTAAGGAGTCTTATGTTTCGGATTTACAATTGTTTTATTTTGCCTCACATATTTCAATAATTTTTATATTTCAAATATTTTTAGGTATATATTGAAGGATACTTGGTGTAAGCTATAAAGAATATGAAATTATTTCTCTATTTGTGCATGTGTGTATTTTTGTGTTCCGTTTTTTGTAAAGTTAACTAATTATACATAGTTATGATGATTTTGGATATGAAATGATGATTGTTTTGGTGGTTGGGTATGTATTGATGATTGTGATGATATGGTGTGTTATGATGATTGTAAGTTTTGTAGACAAGTTTAGATTTTTTTAGGCTTCTATTTTTAAAAGAAATTTTATCGAAATTTCTTAAAATTAGTAGGGACTAACTTGATGTTTTGGTGGTTGGATATGTATTGATGATTGAATATGTATTAATTATTATGGTGGTATGGTAAATTATGATGATTGTAAGTTCTATAGACAGACTGTTTTAGGTTGCAAAGAATCTTTAGGTAATGTAGTATTTTTCGAGTTTTAATTTAATTTTTCGTTACGTCGTGCATTCATGCACGATCAATTACCAGTACTTTAAGTTGAGAATTCAACTTCCTAACTAAGATAGATTGATTATGTGACATTCAACTACATGAAATTTGTTAGATTTGTATTATATTTATAAGTATAGAGGGGCTAATTGCAATTTGTAATCGTTGAGGGGCCAATGTGCAATTGATCCTAATTTTAAGAAATTTTGTTGTAATTAACCTTATAATTTACCCAAAGAGTCTGTGTTTTTTGGATATATGGTAGATCACTATTATAATAAAGAAATAATAATTATAAATTTTATATAATACAATCTCGTTAAATCGATATTGAATTTTATAAATTTTATAATATTTAATTTCATCAATTTAACATCCAATTTTTCAAACTAACCCCATTTTTTGGATTAAATTTCAAATTAACATTCAATTTCATCAAATCAATACAAAATGATCATTTAATTTTATAAAATTAATATTCAAAATTTCAAATTTAATGTTTAGTTTTATCAAATTAATATTATTTTCTAAAATTAACACAAAATTAATATTTTATTTAATCTAATTTTTTTATAGAAAATATTATGTTTAATCCAATTAACATTTAATATAATTAAATTAATATTAAAAAAAATTCCTACTACTTAAGCTTATTTTATATAGTCAATGGTAAATTTAATAAATAATAAGAGAATAAGTTAACACATCACACTTTTTGTATTTGTCAATAACGACATTAGATGGTACAGGTAGTTTGTAAAACGTGTATATATACTATAGGGGTGTACAGTGATATTTAAAAATTAAAAAAAAATATTAATAAAATATGACTTAAATCCAAAAAATGTTAGCAAAATTTATCTATTTTTTTCTCCCTAGTCAAGTCCACGAAATTAAGTCCCAATTTTTAGAAGGCCTTATACTTTTAAGTATATTAATAACCCACAAAAAAAAAAATTCATTAATTTTTGCCCTTTAAAAAAGTCCTAAATAACCACAGATTACAAAAATAAAAAAGTACTAAAAATCAACTCATATTTATCTCCTCTCTCTCTCTCTCTAGTAAAAAAAATACAAACTAGAAATAAAAATTAAAATTAAACTCTATCTTTCCAGTAAAAAATAAAAGCAAAAAATGAAACTTCAACAACATTAATATATCTTTCTTTTGTCTCTCTCTCACACATAAAAAATTAATACTAAAAATAAAAAATATTTTATTTAGTGTTTTTATTTTAGACCTCAAATTGTCTTGAATTTTTTTTGACCACCCCTGAAAAGAAATCGAGGGATCACATGTTGATCACGTGACTAGAGACTCACTGTTTGTTTTTTTGGTGAATGTTAAAAGTAAAGGACCTCTCTCTATCCCTTGGGGGGAGGTTAGGGTAATTTGCATACTACTCCTAAGTTTTGATTCAACCATGTCTACATGTTCTTTGCAAAGTATTTATTTTCTTAATTGGCTGCGATGGTAGGATAGCTCCGTGCGTGCGTCCTTGACCCGGTTGGTTGACTATTCTTTTTTCGGTACAATGAAAAAAAAAAAGAACCGTTATGCCTCCCTAACAAAAGCAATGTTGGCCCATCCACTTGAAGTTTTGTTTTAGTACTCCATTGAGGGTTCTCTAAAAACAACCAGCTTCTCCGGTTGTTGTTCCTTGCTGGTACATTCGCGATAGCCTTTATCATCTCTGTTAAGTCTTCCAATTCCAGCAGATCCAGGATTTCCTTTGGAGCATCTATTAGTGTTCACTTTCAGCCATTCTGCAGGCGGAAAAAGACCATCCAATCAGTCTAATGGGTTTGGTGACTAAGTATTCCATGTAACGGTTATATATTTTGGTAATATCACGTGGCGTAATCGTCTAATAAAAAAATTATATATTACATAGATAATGGTTATTAAATTTTATGGGGACTCACTTGTCTATTTGTTCTTTTTTTCGTAGACGGTTATATAAAGTGATACAATTGATTTAATATTTTTTTTACTTTTGAAGTGTGTAGACATGACTTGGGTCCATCGTCACTTTTTCAAACTCAATTTAAGTTTTATTGTTGAGCATGAATTTTTGTTTAAACTCAACTCGACTTTTAAATTATACACTCACCTTGGTTTGACCTGTTGTCGGACCGATAGGTCACAGATTCGAACCTTATCAACACTTTCATTGTAAAAGTTTCAAATAATGACAAAAAAAAAAAAAAATTGAACTCTAACTCTCGGCTAGGAGAAAATGCATAATTTTTTTAAAAAAAATAGTTAAGCCCATACCCTCCTAATAAAAAAATCAAACACATTATCCACAAATAAATCACATAATCGAATCTAACTAGAGCCAATCGAGCTAAATGAACCATTACTTAAACTTGATTTGAATATTAAGTTGAGTTCAAAATTTTAATTTTATTCAATTTATTTGTTAAAATAAAAGAATTTGAATTAGTTGAATTTGTGTCGACTCGCTTGTCTTGCTTCTTTTAAAAATCCAAGGTTGAATTGAGAGATATAATACATCAACATGCTAAGTCTGATCAGTACTCTATTAGATATAGGCAGTGTTGAGGCACAACGAACACTTAACTCTTAGCCACATCTCTCTCTCTCTCTGTATATATATATATAATTTATTTTGTTAGAAATGATGAAGCCTTAAAAAGCTTGTCCTCTATCTTTTTAATTTTTCTAAAGTTTTGAATTATTAAATTAGGAATGGACCAATCCCATGCTGTCATGAAACCCAAATAACCACCTAAAACTTAAACTAAATAACTACCATTTAATTTAACGTATTTTCAAAAAATATTTTTGTTACCCCTAAAAATATTTATTTTATATTTTTAATGGTTATATATTTTATATTGTATTATCAATGTAATAGAAATATTATAATATGTCCATTTCACTAACTTTGTTATTTATTTCGTTAAAAAACAACCCTGTTAACGTCAACGACAGGAGCAACGAGCAACGAAAAATTAATAGAATAGCCACATTAAAATAATTTTAATTTATTGAAGATATAATGTGAAGAATCTGATCTTTTACCGCATAAAGTGAGAATGTTTTTGTTTTTAGGGTCCAAAGTGTAATTCACGTTATTTTCTCAAGTAGACTACAAGTTGGCTTTGTCAGAGAACCTTTGAGCTTTGACTAAGCAAAGCACCATCTCTGTCAACGACTACACCTCCGACGCCTACCATTTCCCCACGGATTGCAGTTGAAAACTCTCTCTCTCTCTCTCTCTCTCTCTCACACGGAGAGCAAAAACGGAATTTTTCCCGGGAAAGTAAAAGGAAAATTCACTCTTTTCTCCTTCTTCAATCCTTCCAGTAATTCTTCTGTTCCAGCGACATCTGTGTGTTGCTGAGCTCTGAGTTTTCTTTCTGGGTTCCCTTCTTGCTAAAGATTGTTGAATTGGGTGTTTTGGGAATTAGGGTTTCATCAAGTGTTTTGATTTTTGTGTTGAGAGAGAGTTCTTGTATCTTTACCAATGAGTGGATGAGGAATCCTAGTCTACGAATTTAGCTGTGGGACTAGTGATTAGTGATGGATAGGGAGGCCTCTCCGATATCTGTTTTGTGCTTTCTCTGCTTAATTCTGGTATTTTATCGGTTATCCCAAGTCTCCGGTAATGCCGAACGTGAGTGCTTTGATTTAGATGCCTCTTCTCTTTTTGAATTTCTTTTTGAATTTCTGCTGATTTGAATGAATAGGTTTCTGTTGACTTTGTTCTTGTTGAGCATTCAGTGCATTAGGTTCTTCTGTTGCCTTTAGTAGCATGCTTAATTTATTAGCCACTAGGGGTCGTGCACACACGGTAGCTATGTGAAGTTAAAAAAAAAAAAGGAGAAAGAATGAGAAGAAATTAGAATAGATAAATTTAGGTGGTTATAAGAGTTTTGGGTAGCTAATTGGCGTTAATAGTATAGTTAAGAAGAAACATATGTATTATAAAAGTGGAACGAATGGAGGATATTATAGGCATTTATGGGTGGACGCCAACCTCACCCTCTTCCTTTATTAATAGTATTAGTATAGATTCTCAGTAGTAAAGTTTGGAATTACTTGATAGATGTTGAACCATGTAAAAGTTAATTTTATGACCAATAATAATTCTATTTGCCAACTAGTAAGGGAAAATTGTACCTGAAAAAAAAAATTGATTCATACTGAACATTATGTCCTATAATTTTCAAGTTCTAGCACTAGGAAATGATAAAATATCATCTTATAGAACTTGCTTCTTTTGCGAGTATTTAGTAGTTGATGTTATTGAATGAGTTATCTGATAAGTGACTCGCTTATGTGAAACAGGTGATGCCTTGAGTGTGCTGAGGGCCAACTTAGCTGATCCTAACAATGTCATGCAAAGTTGGGATCCTCCCGTTGCCAATCCCTGCAGTTGGTTTCATGTTACATGCAGCAGTGATAATTTTGTTACTAGAGTGTAAGCTTCCGTACATCTTTGACAATTTTAGTGATGGTACTTGCTAGTCGTAACTAGTGTTGTTTTTTCATTTTCATTGGATTGACAATTTTTTTTTTGTATTTCTTCATGCTCAGTGATCTTGGAGATTCAAATTTATCTGGTCAACTGGTTCCGCAGCTTGGCCAGCTTCCATATTTGCAGTACTTGTAAGTCATACTGTTGGGCAGTAAATTTGCTTCAATCCAGTCTATTCTGTTGCTCTTGTTTGTGTTTCTTTGGTATCCCCCCCCACCTCTTTATACGATTTCTGATACAAGTAGCTCCAAGAACCTGGTATGCATAGTTTCTTCTCTTTTGATTTTATTCTAGTTCTTGTCATCTTAGATGCATGTGCTCCTAGTTTTTTTTTTCAGATTAATAAAGGACTTGTTCCAACGAATGTTGAATGGATTGTGACTATCATATTAGTTGAACTTCAGGAAATTTGCTTTAGTGATGTGCTGTAAGGGGCATGTAATATGTTGCTTAGTAAGGTCACACCTGATTCAGATCAGTTCCAAAAATTTCAACCAGTTCTTTTGTCAACCTCAAATGGATACGTGGATACATAAAAAAACCTTGTCTTCAGTTCCTGAATGCTGCTGATAGTTTATACCGTGCTTAACTGAAATTAGGGATTCATGTATGCAACTTAAAATGGTATCATCTCAGAAAGTCCGACTTGGTCGACTCGTATCGATATCAGCCGATGCTTTGAACCTTGATTCAATTACATCATAATAATCTTCTTCAGTGTGGCCAGCAGCATAGTCAGCCATCATTATCACTCTTGCCTTCTCACCCATCACCATAGGACGTTTTTTCTCCTTAGCTCCATTTAGGAAAACATTTTCTCTACCTATGCCCCAATTCATGGAGTATCAGTGAGGACTGGCAACAAAATAAATATGGTTACTTTGAATCACCCTTTTCACTCTCCAATTCCAGTTGTGGGGCCTCTAGTTACAACTTTAACATGGAGAAGTCACTACACAAACACCTGTTGTTCTCATTCCATATTCTAGTTGATGCTTGTGGGACTTAATCTTGATTTTCCATGATCATAGTTGCATACCTCACGTACACTGACAGAAGCAGATGTAGTTAAAAGTACTTAGAGAGAAAATGGTGAAGCAAAAAATGGCCTAGAGATCATTTGGATATTTTTAAGGCTTTGTCCCTCCAGGAACTTTTAGTGTGGGGGGGTTTTGTTGCAGGGTTGATTGGACTGATTGTGGAATTCTGGTGGAACCTTACCTTTAGGAGAACAAATATACTAAGGATAATAATCTGGTAGTATACCATAAAATAAAAAATTGTAATTGAAGAGTCACATGGGATAGGCATGAGCATGTTTACCAAAACATGTGGTATATTATGCTTTTGACATGCTACTGGTAGGTGGAGGTTCCTCTTAGCAGGTTCAGAGCCAATAATTTTCCTTTTAAGGAATGGGCAACAATTACAACTATTTCATCTTTTTCTCATTTTGAAGAATTGAACAACTAACATGACATAAGATTAGTCTCTTGCTATTTCTTACCATACTCAGGGACGTTTCATTTTTGAGGGAATCAAATGTGCTCAGTCTTCTTTCGGGCATATGCCATTTGAGCTTTGACTTGCTTCATTTTCTTCGTTAAGTAAACAGTCTTATTTGATTGGTCCAGTATAACTAAGCTCTGGCTCTGTGAAGACTTTGTGTGGATGCATTTTAAGTAGTGTCCTTTTGGAACAAATCTTAAAAAAAAATAAATCTATCTGTCTTATCAGGGAGAGGACAAGCGAAACGCAGCTAAACAAATAATTTTATTATGTGGATATGGCTACTGCTTGGTGCAATGGTTAAAGTTGAGATTGTCATGCTTGAGAATTTAGATTTGAGTTTAAGGTAATGACTTTGTCTAAATAAAGCTGGCGGTTGAAGTTTGCACCAAAACCACCCAACCTGGAGTCATTTATCAATGGAACCTTCTTGTTGCCGCACATTTCCCCCACTAAAAACGTAGATACTTTATCCAAAGCTAGAACTTGGGATGTCCTTATGAAATTTAATATCCCTATGTATCCATGGTTAGAAGCTTTCATCTTTGGTCAATGTCTCTCATGGTTCTATATAACATAGACAAGGATCAAAATATTGTTTTGAAACGATCAAAACGTCCGAAAAGTTTCCGTTTCCAAGGAGACCGAAACGAAACAGTGATAAAATCGAAATTATGATATTTTGAGGTATTCCATAATGTTTTTAAATGTATTATAATATTTCAATGCATTTGTACAATTGTTTTGAAATGTTTCAAGATATTTCAAGATACTTTGATATATTTCCATCAATGTTTTAGAAAAATAATTCTTAATTTTTTATTTTTTTCATTATGTTTTTGAAACGGGTCGAAACGTTTCCGAAACAAATCGAAACGTTTCCGTTTCTTAGGTGACCAAAATAATACACCGAAACGATATTTTGATCCTTGAACGTAGAAACAATATTGTCAATTTTAGATTTGTCACTACTATGTTCCTTCACTTGCAATCTCGCATGTCTTTCTTCGTCTATAAATAAGTAACTTGAAAATATTTCTGGAAAATGTTTTATTGTGACAGGGAACTTTATAGTAATAACATATCTGGAAGAATTCCTTACGAGCTCGGGAACTTGACAAATTTGGTGAGCTTGGATCTTTACCTGAACAACTTAAATGGTCCCATTCTCGACACATTGGGCAAGCTTCAGAAACTACGTGTCCTGTGTGAGTTACACATCCCTCAGCCTTTTACTGTTATAATTAAGTTTGTTTACCTTACTGAAGTTTTGCCTGAGTAGGCTTTTCAATTTTTCTCTTATTTTCCTTTTAAGAATATAAAGTCAAGATTTATGTTTCGCTTCTAATATTTGAACTGGAAAATGCATTGCAAAAATATCAGAGCTCATGGTAATATTATGACCAAATATGGACCTTTCCTATATTTTTAAGGTGTCTAGCTAAATTTGCAGCTGGGCTTCCAAAGGCATGATGTTTGTGACAAGTATATTGGTTGTTACCTTTCCTACATAAAACTTACATATTGAAAGTAAAAGAAAATGTTTTAAGACTTGCAAGCATACAGTACCTCTAGAGCACTGCCAAAATGTAAATGGTTTTATTTTGAGTGTTGCCAGTTGTTACCACTAATAGCCTAGCACAGGCAATATAAAATCTGAGATGCAAAATGTGCTTTGTCTACATTTCTGCATTTCTTGTTCATTTGACAGAGGCGGGAATGATATTGCTAACCACATACCTTCCTATTAAGCAATGCTAGCATATTTTATTCGCGGGTTACAACAGTGTTGCCAACATACCTGCTTATCTTTGGTTATACAGTTTTCTTTTGTTATACAGTTTTTTGGTTACCGAGTTGGACGTGGTTGTCTTGTTGTATGAATGGCTTTTGGTACCTTGTATGTTCTGTTTGACCACATATAAATAATGACCATGAGATAGGTTGCTCAAACCCATTACCCCATTTGTGGAGAAAAGGAAGAAGTCCTGCCTTACCTCATTACAGGACTCAAAAAACTTTTTTTTTTTGGATAATAAACAAAACTTCATCTCATTGTTAATAAATGTACAAAATTATTGGATAAGAAGTCCACAAAAAAGAACATAATCAAAGAAAAAAAAAACAGTCCCTATGAGCTTCCATCGAATTTCCAATTATGTCGGAGAACTAAGAGAGAAGTGTCACAATTCCTCTCTAGCCATACCACCCTACCCTAAAAATGGCCAAAATTGCACAGTTCCATAAAATTGAATCTCTTTTACCATTTACCAAACCATCAAATCTCGTCTCCAAAAGAGAAACACAATAACGTAGTGTGACCCATGCCAAATCTGCCTCCCACAAAAGCTTATGCCACAAGAAAGTGGCAATGGGAAAATGAAGGAACAAGTGGTCAATACTTTCGCAACATTGCTAACACAAAGCACACAATGTGGAGAAATACAAGTGTTAAGTCTTATATTTTGCAACAAATCATAAGTATTCACCTTTCCATACTAATCCAAGCAAGCATATCCACTTTAACAGGAACTTTTGCTTCAAAATCAATGAATAAAGATCAAATGTTGCAATACTCGGATCATCAATCAAGTATTCAAAATAAGAACAACAAGAAAAAAATTTCGAATGAATCAAGAGACCAAATTCTTCTATCACTAATCAAGGAATTCAATGAGACCAAATCTAACAAGGAAAAAAGTGAAAAAAAAAATGTCTTGATCATTTAGATTATGAAAGAAATTTAAATTCCAAGCACCCAAAGAAGATGAAGAAGAAGGACAAACAATTTAGCCATTTGGCTATTATGAGACCCTAATAATCTAAATAATATTAGAAACAATAAAACAAGAGATGGCTCTACAATCTAAATATCTTCTTAGAACCGAACTCTTTCCCCATTTTGAACCCTCAATTTAACGTGATTTCTAAAATCATCCAAATCTTGAGATATAAATTTTCAAAGATTACAAAATGAGCCTATACTCACCACATTGAAGTCCCATCCATTGGCATGGATTTTATTCTTACTTTTCGGAATTAAAATGCATTTGAGAGAGAAATTGGGTAGAAAGGAATTAGACACTATCTCATTATTTTAGTCATAATTTTTTCCCCCGATGTTTGATTGATATGATTTTTGGACTGTAGAAATTAGACTTAAAGGGTTGCAAAAGTGTATTTCATCGAATTTTCATGAATCAACTTCTAATTAGGTCAAAATGGAGCCGAACGTTGGTATCAGAGTTTAGGAATTCGATCTTACATGAGAGCTGTAGGTTGTGGATTAGTTAGTGAAAGTATCAGTTATGGGATGAAAGAAATTCTAGGCTTAAATCTTTTTAGGGATTAAATGTTTATTAGTTGAGGGTGAGTTGGTGCTATAATAGCAAAAATGGAATATTAGGCTTGGATCTTCTTGATACTATAAGAAATGTGTGAGTTGATGCTTAATTAAGTTATAGATTGTTTAGTTGAATTCATGAGTTAGCTTAAAAGAATTGATGTACTTTTTTGGATGGATATGCTAGCTAACTACAATGCCGTTATGGACTATTTTAGGAAATGAATGGTATTTTGTTTTGGTTAGTAACAAATGCAGATGTGGATAAGGATGTTGATCCAGATTTGGAGGCTTGGAGATGCTTATTTAGTTTATAATTCTAAATTATGGATGTTTTGAAATATTCTTTTATTAGTTAGTTGATGGATTATTATTTTGACTTTTGGATGTAACTTTAACGAGTTATTATGTTTGATTTGGGATTTGTCTAGTTGTCTATTAGATGACTGATGATTTTATTATTTAATGATTATTTTTTATGCTCTCATGGTTAGATGTTGTATTAATAGTTAATGCCATTAAATGTGTATTTTGGGGCATTACAAAAAGAGTCTAGTTAAATTCTTTCTTTCATAAGCATGATGTAGTAGACAACAAAAAATTATCAATTTCAAAAGCAGGTAGCCACATGGAGCCCTTTGTTCTATGACGAAGATTGGTGGAGTTCAATTATCTTGTAAAATAATACTTCTTGTTTTGTTCATGGTCGGCTAGAAGAAGTGCTTCTGGTTTTATTGTTTCAGAAGCAAGTGAATGATTTGAAATACATTCATTGAAAAACTGTAAGATTCAAAATATTTTGGCGGCCGTCATCAATTGCCAATTCTTGGCACCCAGCTTTAGTAGGTTGAGAGGCAGCATCAGCTTGCTTCTTACTGGGATATGGTGAGATCCACTAGTTTATGATAAAGTAAGTCTCCCAATCAACAACAACGACAATGGAAGAAACAATGAGTTCACTAAGTAACCAATATTGAGCAATTTTAATCGAAGCTCAATTCGATTGTACTAGTATGAGCAGAGATAACAGGAAAATTATTTCATGGTATACCTAGGCAAACCAATATGGGAGAAACTATTACTGTGCTAAACATGACAAAAAAAAATTATCATTTAATTTTACCTAATCTTGAAATTTTTTATACTTCTTGATTCTATTTGTTAATTAATCCAAATAAATAAAAGAAAGCAGTCTACTTTTGTGACCTTGCACACTCCCCACAAGTTCCCTACTTTCATTCTTAAAACAATGGTGTGAAGGACGGTTGAACTGTAGTTTCAAAGAGAGTTGATGCACACTAGTTGATGCAAGATCCTGCAGATTGGTTTGTTTATATTATTACAACTCTTATTGTAAGTTTTATTAATTGAAATTACCTTGAGGGTGGGTTATGATTTAGCAGTTTTTCATTTATCTATAGATTGGCTTTATTGATACAAAACTGGATGATCCTTTTAGATGATTAATGCATGAAGAAACCTAAGGAAAGCTCTCTCTCTCTCCCCTTTTTTCTTGGTGGTTTTTGGTATCTCTTGTGTTTTATTTTTTTCTGTTTCTCTTTTCAAAGTCTTCCCTTCTTTCTTAGATTTTATTTATCCTAGTTTTTTTATTTATCTCTCTGTGCAATTCTCTAACATCTTTTGGTAATTTTCTTTTCATTTCATCTGTTGACTTTATCTCCTTCTTGGGAATTTATGTACATGCCAACATTCAAATGAATGTATAGTTGAAATCTCAAATAGTTACATATATTTGTTCATATCTCCTTTTCTGTAAACCTCCACATGCTTATCTTAATATAGCAATGTAATTATTTTTGAGATGCTAATATATGTGATAATGTATGCATGAACTATATGAATTGTAAGAGTAAAAATAAAAATGTTAGTTGAGGTAATAGGACATGTTGTAGAAGTTTATAAATATTCTAGAGTGAAAACACATTTTAGACAAAATTTGGGTAGAAAGGATATTGGACACTGCCTACTATTTGGATCATAACTTTTTATTCTGATATCCATTTGATCTGAAATTTTGATAGTAGATAGTAGACTTCTAGGGCTACAAAAGTGTTTTATGAAAAATTTTCAAATCGACCTCTAAATAGGTCAAAACTTCACCGGAAGTCTCAACAGAAAACTGGGACGACTTTCGAACGACAGTAAGTCCCAATACTTTGATGTTTGTAGAGCTTTGATGGAGATGCAAAAGTACAGAGAGCACTAACGTTCGAACACCAAGTGACGTTCGAACGTGAATCAATAATTTGCACTATTGACGTTCGAACGCCAAAGTGACGTTCGAACGTGAACTTACGGATTCTAAGGAGGGGTAGTTTTCAGTTTCATGAATGAACTAAATTCTTCCCATCCATTTCCTACTATGGGTAGTAGATTCTTGAAAGCCAAGGCAGGGAGCCATTTGAGTTTTTTAGCTAACTTGATGGGAGATGATCAGGATAGATCCCAACCTGATGTGGTATTGATAGTGTCGGAGTTCTGGATGTCTTCCCAGATGAACTACCAGGGTTACTCCCACAGAGAGAGATTGAGTTTACTATTGATCTCTATCCGGGAACGGAATCCATATCCATTGCTCCCTATCGGATGACACCTTTGGAGTTAAAGGAGCTAAGGAAGCAGTTGGACCATCTCTTGACTATTTGGGTTTATCTGTTAAGTACTTCACCTTGGGAAGCCCCGGTCCTTTTTGTGAAGAAGAATGATGAAACACTTCGGTTATGCACGGACTGCCGAAGGTTGAATCGGGTGACAGTGAAGAATAAATACCCATTGCCACGAATTGATTATTTATTCGATCAGCTAAGGGGTTCTAAGTATTACTCTAAGATTGATCTTTGCATACGGTACCATTAACTACGGATCAAGGAGGATATTCCTAAGACAGTTTTTCGTACCCGGTATG